TTTATTTTTTTTTTTTTTAAGTACAGTAACTTCCATTCATGGTCTTCTGTGAATTTTTTTTTATTAAAAGTTTATTTATTTTAGCTATTTTTAACATATTTTCAGTCTATTATTTAATAAGTTGATGTCGTATTAGAGATGATGTTGTACACTACCATTCAAAAGTTTGGGATTGCTATTTAAAGAAGTCTCTTATGCTCACCAAGGTTGTATTTATTTGATCAAAAATACAGTAAAAATAGTAATATTATAGAAATGAAGCGCACGTGAACAGGTATGTACAAGGCTTACCTTGTTTGATGTTGCTGGATCAATGTTACTGTTAGACAGGGTTCCTGTCAGGGTTCCAGGGTTAAGTTAAGGGCGAGTACAGGAAACAATATCCTTTTTAATGGTTAGGGTTATGGATTTTTATTTAATTTTATTACATTTTTTATTTTATTTTATTTTATCTTTAAATTCAATTTTATTTTATTTTATTTTATTTACACTAGTCAACATTTGAAGTTGATCTAAACCTTTCATCATAGTTGTCCTAAAAACCAAAATGCGTTCTTGTCTTAGAACAAATTTGATTATCTTTTTTGATCCACTTCAAATGTTGACTACAAAGTTTATTTATTTTAGCTATTTTTAACATATTTTCAGTCTATTATTTAATAAGTTGATGTCGTATTAGAGATGATGTTGTACACTACCATTCAAAAGTTTGGGATTGCTATTTAAAGAAGTCTCTTATGCTCACCAAGGTTGTATTTATTTGATCAAAAATACAGTAAAAATAGTAATATTATAGAAATGATTACAATTTAAAATAACTGTTTTCTATTTGAATATATTTTAAAATGTAATTAATTCCTGTGATGTTAAAGTTTAATTTTCAGCTTTAAGTGTCACATGATCCTTCAGAAATCATTCTAATATGCTATTTTAATGCTCAAGAAACATTTCTGATTATTATCAATGTTGGTATAGTGTGTGTATTTGGAAAAATGCACACACATAGAACGGGTTCTTGGTTCAACATCCTTAAGCCTCTGACTGGTTAACAGCAGTGTTACTCCAGTAACTACAAAAGGATGTTGATTCAGGAACATGTGCTGCTTGTGTAAATTACATTAAGCATGCATGGACACACTCTCACACACAAGATGCACAACATGTGGCTTTGAAATTGTACCCATCTGAGAGGTCTTCTGAAGGAGGCATTGACACATGGAGCCTGCAGTACATACAAACACTTCAGTCACTGGTGACATAGCCTTAATATGCCCCCATCTCCCCAGCTTTTACACAGCTTGAGAAACGCTGTCAAAATGTCATTGAAACATTTTGTACTCACCATAGAAAACAGGCAGTTGCATGCTAGAGTGCAGCGAAACAGCAGCCACTCTGTGAATGGAACAACTGGTTCTTATGGAGGAGGGTGACGTAATGTTGAATTCAAATATGGATGATGTCACTGCATCAAACCAGTATCAGCCAATCAGCTGTGCGCATGAAAAGAGAGAGAGACACGCAGGTATAACAGACATGTTTACACTCAAGTCTTTCAAAATCCACCTGCACTGATATTTTCAGAGGGATGAGTGTCGAAAAAGAGACTTTTCTGCCTCGGCTTTCTAATTATACCCATCATCCCAATATCTCGCCATCAATATATCCCCCTAGAAAATGATTTCATGTTCAATCCATTGTTCTTGTTCTTTTTTCCTGTTGAAATGACCTACAGTACTGGTCAGCAGCATATACTGTGTTGTGGCATACTATCAGGTGTCCCTATCAGGCTTCTTAAACTAGTTTAAAGGGATAGTACACCCCAAAATTCTGTCACTATTTACTCACTATTTACCTCATGTTGTTCAAAACTTGGCTTTGATGGCAGATGTGGATCTCAGAGGGCAGAACGACCGATGTAAAGCTGAAATATGTATTACACAATTTAAATATAGTAAATCACACGCTGCAATGAAATTTACATTATTTACAATTTTATTCAATTAGAAATTGATACAGTACACTGAAAATGAATCAATATGAAAAAAAATACTTTGAAGTTGATGGACAAACCTATAAAATAAACTGATTCAAAATTTAGACTTCTGATTCTGTAACTGAAGCCTATTTTTTTTTTTACAAAATAATTGTTAAAAACATTATACTAAAAAGGAAATAAACACTGTAACCAACACTGTTTGTAAAATTAAACATTTATTAGATATTCAACGACTTGTTTAAAAGATATAAATATGTATTTGCTGAATAATTTGCTTTAAAAAACATAAAACTAGATTGGAGATTGAAAACAGGAGCATCTGAGCTCAGATGCTGGAGTTTTCAGTGATGCCAAAATAAAGGTCCTGGTGGTGGACAGAAAAGTTTATTGACTGACGGCGATAATAATAAAAAAAAAAAAAGATTAGTCTTAGGTTATATATTGGTTGATCACTAGTCTCTCTTGTTTTTTTCCATGCAGTTACAATGAATGACATAAAAAATATATAATATTAAAAGTATTATAAAAGTAGTTTGGTCACCTCATTTTGAGGTCCATTTCTCACTTTTTTTAACTAACTATTAACTACGACTTTTGCCTTAAACTCATAATTTGCTGCTTATTAATAGTTAGTAAGGTAGTTGTTAAGTTTAGGTATTGGGTAGGATTAGGGATGTAGAATATGGTCATGCAGAATATGTGCTTTATAAGCACTAATAAACAGCCAATATGTTAATAATAGGCATGCTAATAAGCAACTAGCTAATAGTGAGAATTGGTCTCTGTATTAAAGTGTTACTAGTAGTTCTTAAGAATAAATGTTTAATCGTTATTTGAAGCTTGAAAGCTACATTGACCTTGTTGACTAGAATGACCAGTACAATCTTTTTGTGCAACTCTATCATACAGGTTTAAAACAACATGAATAAATGATGCAAATTTTAATTTTTGCATGAACTATTCCTTTAAGTAGATTGGTCATTGAGCATTTTTGTTGGCGAACAACATAACTATGATAGTCCACAATCTAGACTAGCACCAAGCCAGCATAAACATGGGAACTCATGCTGGTCTAAGCTAGTCTTTTCAGCAGGGCTCTCTTTTGTCTTTTCATCACCTATTTTACAGCTCTTTCATCCTCATGTATGTGATTCTCATCCCAGTATATACCTGAGTGTGACATTAATGCCCAGTGAGTGTGTGAGAGATGATAGGATCAAATGAGAGAGAGAGAGAGACGGGGAGGTTGGGTGAGAGACAGGTGGAGTCCATGGTTGCCAAGGCAACACCGCCCTTATATGGAAACTGGTGATATCATATTGCAAAGGTCAGCCTGGAGAGAAAGAGAGAGCGAGAGAACAAGGAATAAAGAGAGTGAGAGAGAGAGAGAAAGAGAGAGACAAGAAAAAGAGGAAGGGTTTCGGAATATCCTCACCTTTGAAGGAAGACGCTTCACAGGAATTCCTCATTTATTTGCAGCCGTGGTGGAATAATGGAAAGGGGGAGGGGAAGAAGAGGACAAGAAGAGAGCGAGAGAGGGGACAAATGAGTGCAACGGTGTGTAAACCGGTGGGAGGAGAGTTAATTACCCTCTGCCAGCCTTTTCCCGAGACTCCAGCACGGAAGAGTTAAAGCAGCAACCAGTAGCCAGCTGATGCTTTAATGAATTAAATAAAGAACCTGTCGTCGCATGTGCCGGAGAGAGAGAGAGAGAGAGAGAGAGCAGGAATAAGAGAATGAGTATTCTGCACACCTGACAGCCAGCTGCTAAGACTGAAGGCATCTAGCTAGTGTGCACGCGCGCGTGTGTGTGTAGGGAGGACGCACACTCACTAGCGCACATGCATGCAGGTGCAGGTGAGATTCGCGCTGACGGCTTCATTTGTTTGGTTATTGCGAGATTGTTTGACATGGTGACTGCATGAAGATGGACACCGCTTGGGTTTGATTTTTACAGTGTGAGTGTATCTGCGCATGAATGTTCTGAATGTATGTATTTGTATGCATGTGTGCATATGTGTGCATGTGATGGGAAGGAAGAGCTGTTTTGCATGCGGGTCAGGTAGTGTATAGCTGGATGTAGTCTTGCTGGGCTGACACATGTTTCTCAGGTGGAGACTAATGCTGGTCACAGGATCAGATGCAACTAGTATTCAGGCCTGATTGTTGTGTTTAGCGCGCATGAGGATGTGCTTCTGCTTTAATAAAGGTGGTTTGGGTTGTAATGCTGACGTATAGGTGCACATGGTGGCATTTGACTTGCAAACAAAAGCCACTATGTTTCTGATGCATGCAGAAGGTGGGTTTAAAGGAGACATGCTCTATTGCACATTTGCAGTATTTTATTTTGACCTCCTGATTAATGCTAGTTAAGGATTATTGCATGAGAATGTGTCAGAATTTATATTTCAATACCAGTTTTCACTTTATAGCATGTAATAGCAAGCTCTATTTGTTCCTGTCCCTTTAAGACTTACTGTGGGGTTGAGGTTGGCTTATGTAAATAACCTCTGATAGTTTAACTTCCATGTGTCGATGCAGTTCAGTACAGATCACAACTGGTCAGCTGTCACCTGATAGTAACATGTTGCAAATGCGTTGACTGTGACCATTTGTACTCGAGGCTCTCATTTTGTGGCTACATTTTAAAAATGCTTTTTCAAACTTGTGAATAAAACGAAGAATATTGGCGTGCATTTTCTAGAAAAATAGGCTACTATTTTAGATTTTTTTTACTTCAAAATTTCATGTTCAACTCAGTGTTACTTGCCATTTCTTTGTAATTATTTGTTAAAAGTACTACAATTTCTGGGTGAAAATGGTTTCAACACCAATGTTTTCAAAGTCACTCTTAAAGTTAGTGCATCAGTGCGTGTTGATAAAATGGCACAATATTATTAAATTTACATCCAAATTTTGATCTCACCACAAGCATTATGTTCTGAGCAGAATTTTCAGTTATTTTAGTCAAGTAACTGTATTAACTGTACTTTGGATGTGCTTTTTCATGTGGTCTGTGTTGCTGCTTGTTGATGTCAGGCAAATTCTGCAAAGATTTCACCATTATTTTATGTAACTGTCGAATAAACACTTACTTTAGGGCAAAGGGTGATTGACAGGTGAGACTGATAGATTCACATTTTCAACTGCTTCCAAATGTGGTTTGAGTGATCGAATCACAAAACAATTTGAACCCCTCATATTTAATGCTGTCCATATAAAATGAATGTTAGTATCAGGTATAAACAGAATTTTAGTTTCCATAAATGGACTGGGTGATGTGGGAAGGGAGCTGTGCAGTCTGAAAGAAATCTGTTTTGTATGATTTATCCCTTTTTTAAATGTTTCCTTTCAGATGCACCTGTATCGTCTATTAACCCTTAAACATGCTGTTGATTTTCTGCTGGCAAAAGCAGCCGCAGCTTAGACAATTATCTAAGCCAATTATCCCCCATTTAGAGTTGTTTCTTAGCAACTGAGGATGCCAGCCTCATACCGCTCCATGGAATTCTGCTTGTTAGGGGAAAATAACATCACCAAGCCACAGCTCACCGGCCCTGCAGTGCATAAATCCATAAGACGCTGAAGCGGCCCCTCAATTATGATCCAATATGATGGTGTCGGTAGTTGTGTTATTTCAGTTATTTATCAAAAGCTATGTCAAAGAGAGAAATGTAGGGCTGTCACATTGAAATGATTTAGGAGACTTTTCATTGCTGTGAATTTTTCACTTCCTCTGTGGTTTGGCCGGAGACCACAGCGCAAATTGAAATGGCCGTGAAGGGGTGTGTGTGTGTGTGTGTGTGTGTGTGTGCGCTTGTAATTTAGCCATACTTTTCAGACAAATTTGCTGAGATATGTTGCTAGGAGTTTGCTAAAACTGATAAAATCTCATTTTGGGGGATGTCATCAAAAGCAAATGTGGTTCATAAATAAATAAATGTATTTTTATATATTTACTTTTTTATGTAATTTTATATATTAACTTTTTTGTAAATTGTATTAGTACTTTTTTGAGAAAATAATTTATGAGCATAATTTAATTATATATTTATTTAATGTAAATTTAATGTAAATTATATATATATATATATATATATATAAATAAATATAAATTTGCATTTTATGGTGGCTAGGGTTGGTCTGTTGTAATTATGAATAATAAAAATAATAAAGAAATGTCCAAAAGCTTTTCTTATATCCATGCTGAAAGGGGTCCACTTTTAAAGTCCACTTTTTATCAGCCAGTGAATCATGCACTTTTAATTTACATTTACATTTTAGGTGAATGTTTGAGTGTGTGTGTGTTGAATATAAGGGGTGTATAGACTGGCTACACTGCCATTCCTTTCATGCTTCAGACAATCATGTCCCACGTAATACGAGAATGCTTTGGCTTAAAAATGCTGCTGGGAGACATTTAATATTACGTCCTTGAGCAGGCACTTAAATCTCAAGCTCTTCCAAAGTACGGTTTATCCCCCCGTATTGACCATCAACTGTACAAAATGCTTGGCTTTAGGCTGAACTTCAGTACCAGAACACCTCCTGGCAGCAATGCAATGGGTCCATCTGCCGCTCAATAGTACCTGACATCAGGTAACCCAGAATCAATCCTTGCAGGTGAGGCCCTGCCCCTATAGCTGACCCATTTCTGTCTGGAGGGGCGGAATCAATCATTAAAACAGCTCAGATGAGAAACCAGTTAAACCTGCTTTATAACAGAATAAACAGAGAGAAGGGTTGGCCAGTTTTTTTCCATATATCAGCAACACAGATACACTGACCAACACTGAAATATATATTATATGATTATAGGTATATGTGGTATTTTCTTTTTGGAGAGACGCTGATACAATGTGTGTATGCTAGTGTCTTAACCTCAACTTTGGGGTGTTTGTGTGTATTTAATATAAATACATGCAGCACATGTTTGCAGTAGTGCTTCATAGAGCTGCATGTATTTTTCTTATTGCTGCGCCTTGTAGGGCATTGGCAGGATGAACTGCACAAAGTTGAAAGCAGGTGAATGAATACACAGAATATTATTTTACTAGAAATATAATGCTGAAGTACTGCTATATGAGCGGTGAGCTATTATACACCATTGATATCAACATCCTGCTTCAAGGGAGTTCAGCGGCATTTTTGGCCTTGTGTAGAAGGAAATGTTTAGTTGATGTTAAGCTTTCCAATGAATATATTTTTCTCTAAATGTATGATTTTACACGCACACACTTTTAATCAGCTGACTATGTAGTCTAGACTTGGCCATGAAATATTCAAAGGTCTTGATCGATCAGGGTTGGGTTCACCAAATATGCGGCAGTCTGAGTTTTATTCAAAGAATATATGGGAACTCGGGGCACTTTAGGCCCTGTGGCCTTAATGAACTGAATAAAGAAAATAAACCACTTTATTAACCACATTTTTCAGACTCACTAGTTTATTTAACTTGTCTTTTAATAATGTAATGTTGTCTGTCTAATAATGCAGCGGGCATACGTACATGACAGACGAATTAGTGTTTAAAATATTATTTTCACCACAGTGTCATTTTCATCACATCTCGAATCATTCTGTGGTGGAAATGGCAGTGATTTAAATTACTTTTCTTTCTCTCTCTATCTCTCTTTTTTTTTTTTATAAAATTGCAACAAAAGAGTCAAAAGTGACCAAGCAAATAAAAAAAGAACGTCATAATCTGGTTTTACCTGGTAATGTCTTTGACTTTCCGTAAAAGTGAAATTCACGGATGAAATGGGAAAGATAGGTGTGAGCGCTTCAGACAGCTGACCAATTTCAGTATGATTGATAGGTCTGGGCAGCAGGCCAAGCATAGACACAGAGGGGATCTTTTTAATTAATTTTTTTCTGCAATCTTGTCAGTTAGTCCGTCAGACAGGGCAGCTGATGGACAGATGAGAGAAAGCCTCAAAATACCTTCATGCAGACTCATTTAGAGGGCCAGCCCATTCAGAACAGCTCCATATGATGACCAGACAAGAGGAATTATGTGTCTCTGTGTCACCATGTGCGTTAATGCCGTCTTTATTCTGCAAATCGCTGCATATGAAGCCGCATATGTGGTGTAAAAAGTCTGTTTATTGCTGCTTATACACTACCAAAAGTTTTCGACTCAGTAAGTCTTTTAATTGTATGTAATGTAAATTGACCAAAGGTGAGAGTAAAGACATTTATAATGTTACAAAAGATTTTTGTTTCAAAGCAATGCTGTTTTTGAACTTTATATTCATCATTTTGGAGAAAAAAATGTATCACAATTTCCACAAAAAACTAATAAGCAGGCACATTGTTTCTTGAAAATGCTGAAAATTCATATTGAAGTAATATTTTGCAATGTTACTGTATTTTTGATCAAATAAATGGAGCCTTGATGAGCATAAGAGACTTACATAAAAAAATCCTTCTGCCCTTAATTTTGAATGTTAGCGTTGGTGGTATAAATACATATTGCATCAAATGGTGAATGAAAATATTATATTGTAATTACAGAATAAATAATAAAGCAGTAATTAGAACAGATCTACCTTGCTTGTGTAAAGGCCTTAAGTTATGCAATATATTAGTTGTAGTTACTTACAATTGCTTATTATTAAGAGTGAGTTGAAATGAATGTGAGTCCAAAATTCTCAGTAAATTTTGACAGATATCCTCACTGGGATCTGTTCTCTCTCTCTCTCTCTCTCTCTCTGTTCATATTTTCCTTAACATTCTTTTATCACAAAAGATGGTTGGAGATGGTGACTGTGTATGAGGTTTCACCACACACAGAGATAAATGTCTAAGTAACACTTGCTCTCTCTCTTCTCTCTCTTTCCATAGCAACAGCCAAACTACTGGAGCTTTAAGGTCAGTACTTTGATTACTTCTGTCCCTATATCAAAAACTTGTTCTTTTGATACCTTTTTGTGTGTTCTTATGTTGTATGTACATGGTGTATATTGATGTCTGTTGTAGGCCCAGTGTTGTAGTTTTATACACCTTACATCCCAAAAATCTCCCAACAAAGAAATGCAAAAAATGACAGCGGATTCAGTCTGGGCTGAGTAGCAGGGACATAATTGTTGCTAAAAGTGAGATAAATAAATCTGACAAAAACAACCCTTTGGTGGCTCACATGGACATCCTTAAATGTCTAAAATGAATGACAGTCTGTAGTAATTACAAAGAGCATCAGATAAAAACAGTTGAAGTCTATGGTGTTGAATAGGTGTGTATCACGTGTCAGGTGTCTTAAAGTCATTGATCTGTGGGCCGTGCAGGTCTGAGGCTGATTTGTGATGGTCTGCTTCACTGGTTTTTATCTTCTAAATCTCATTCCCCTGTTCTTTCTTTCTATCTTCTATTTCTATCTCTCTTTTCCTCTCCTCCATTTTCTTACACACCTGCCCACAGAACCCATAAAAGTCTTCCAGCTGAAGTCAACTTAATAGAACTGAACACATGGGTCTCTATAGATGTTTTTAAAAACTAGATTTCTTTTAAGTTGTCACAGCATCTTAAAAACCAAGGTAATGAGACTGTAGGAAAAAATAATCAGAAAGCCACAGCAGTGAGTATGCTGGTAGGATGTTGGTTCAGAAACTTTATAGGCTTACGTACTCCATCAAATCCCTCGTTATTGAACCTGTACTATATTGCGAATGATATTTATTCTATCAGGGATGAAATGTCTATTATATGTATTAGCGATGTTGGAGGGTGTGTATAATTGTAGAAGGAAACAGGAAATGGTCTTAGGCTGTGATAAACAGTGTCATTAGACTGAGACTCAGTAATCGGATCCTCCTGATTGTGTTCATTCATATTCACTCTCACACTTATTTACTCACATTACACTCCTCCTGTCAACGGACACACCCTCATTCTCTATGTCTGGCAATAATGTCAGGTTTTCTTTAATTATTTTTTTTATTTGACTATCCAGACACTGAATAACATGCAGACAGCACATTTTAAGTACATGTCGACATTGATTTGGGACTAATGAGATCTTGCTGTGTTTTTCTGCTAGTGTTGGGCATCTCAATTTGGTTTGTGAATCATCATATTATTTGTTTCACTGTAGACTTTCTAGACTAATAGACTCCTTCTGACCTGACCCTCCAAATCCCTTGCAACATGATACACCTCAAACTCTCTCGTTTAACCAATTCTTAATCTTTACACTCTCTATTCTTGTCTATTTTCCTGAATTATGGACCTTCTCTTCTCTTCTCTTCTCTTCTCTTCTCTTCTCTTCTCTTCTCTTCTCTTCTTTTCTGATGTTTGCATGTTCTTGTCACGGTAAGATGAATTGTCAGATGCTTTCAGAACATTTTTTCCTTTAGGTGTAGATTCTGAGGCCCCAAACAGATGCCTGTTAAAAGCAAACGTCTCCCCTGGCTGATTACGCCACATAAAATTAGCCTCTCTGCAAATTACTGTCAGAGCTGTGATTTGTTGGTTTGGTTCCGCTCTCATTTGTGCTGCCTTGTTTTTTACTTTGATAACTTCCTCACATCTAGAAATGTGTTTTGATGTCTAAGTGCTGGTTCATTAGCATTTTCTGTTGTTCTTTTCTTTGTCAGATGTTTCAAATCGTTAGAGCTAGCCATCCCAGGTGAAAAAGAAATATATTTAAATTGTGCTTTTTCAGAAGCATATATTTAATACAAAAGTATTTCTAGTATACTTTTTAGAAATATATTAAAATGCAATTCAGTATATTTTTATTGCACTTCAAATAAGCATGTTGGGAATACAAATGTATTATAAACATACTACTTGAATTTCAAGTATATTTTTAATACATTTAATACTACGTCTTTTTCACCTGGGATATGCTAACAGTGAAGAGAGGGCAGAGCTCGGCATTGACAGTGTTGGGGAGTAGCTAAGTTCAAGTAGTGGTGCTACGAAAACATTCAATATCTTGACAATACCTCAGTTGTTTTCCAATTTTTCTGGCTTTTTAAGTAACTAGTATTTTTCAGGTAGCTATTGGAAGTCTGATTCATTAGTTAAACATTTTGTGAGGATGCATAAAAGATCTACTGAATTCTAAGTTCATCACTTAAGTGTTTTCCTTTATTTTAGTGAAATGTTTTGCTAAATTCTGCTGCTTATCACAGCGCTTTGTGTAATTAGGGTGTTTTATTAGTTGTTATTTTTTACTGTAAAGTTGTGTCTACCAGTTTGGTTGTGTTGGTGTCAGGTAAATATTTCTCAGATAAAACTTGGGAAAACAATTGGGCTGTGGTATCATTTCTGTCAAGTGCACTTCTTGCACATTTCGCAACACTTTCAAAGTAAAATGTCCAGTTCAGTTCAGTTTCATCCCGAACCAATATACGTGAACCACACAACCTTTCATTACGTTTGTAGATATCCCAGCAGTTTTTAAAATGAAATGTCCAGTGAGTGGCACTAACGGTTAATGCTCTATCGCCTATAAAATAGCTTTTACTAAAAACCTACCCTAAACATAACTTAAAGTGTTAACAAAAGCAAATGTGATATAAAAACACATTTGATGAAGAAAACCATGCCATTTTTTTGCTTGCTTCTACCAGTCTTTGAGATTTTGTATCGTTTCTCATACCTGAGCTCTCCCTATCAATAAAAATAAATAAAGCAGTGCTGTACCAGGTGTGCTACTAAGCAAGTTTACTGCATTTAAATCTGGTTCTGTGATGCAAACATCAAAATGTGTTAATTTACAAATCATGCACTATGATAAGTGTTCTGAGGTCATAACATATATTATGCAAGGAAAAAAACATTTTTTTGTGTTTTATTGCCACTAGTGGCAGTTTCAGCTGGAAACTACAGTGAATGGAAAGTACGATATAGGTAGATTTTTGAAGTTCTGCAAAAATGTGGGTAGAGGCACGATTCTTCAATGAACCTTGGTTCGATAGATATAGTTTTGTGATTTATTTATTTATTTTGTAATATGCCACATAGGAAATAATATTGTTTCTTCATGTAGTTTCAATATTAGCGGTTTTCTGTATTAGGAGTAGCTGAAGTAATGTAGCCTGTCGAACTACAATTTAAAGTAGCTTCTCCAAAAATAGTCATTACCAAATTTAGCCCATTGAATTAGTTTCAGGGTATCCTAAAAATCACGTGCAACATAAACAAAGACGTACACCGGACACATGTTGCACTGCCTGTATATCCAGTTCAGCATTACTTTTGTGTTTTTGTTAAACAGTGTCACCTGTTATCTCTTGTTTTGGGAGACAGCTCACAGCTTGTCCTCCAGCAGACAGTAAAGGTGTGCTGAACTAATCCATTGTCCTCTTTCCCTTCCTCTTATCATTTC